TAACAAGGTAATAATAACCAAGTTAAGCTTCTGCGGGTCGGCCCTGGGACCTTTCTTCAGGGGGCTGCCACAGGACACCCAAGCACAATAGCACAACCATAGCTCTGTATATGTTTGTCTGAATACTGAGAATTATTAAGTACAGGAAAAACTGCAACTTCTGCAAAACTAGCCAAAATAATGAAGTACATGGCGGGTATACTATCGTCATCCCCTAACATGCTTAACATAGCGTTAAAACGTGAACTCTAGTTTCTACAGGGTTACATGTTCTGTCCTCTGCAAAGGGCAAAACACTGTGGCATTATTTATGGATTTCTGTGACCTCCCCGCAGCAAACAGGAAACAGGCCATATTTTTGCCCATTTTACCATATACACAAGATAATCAAACCACTAGATCGTTCATATTTCTCTCAAATCAGATGTACAGTTTCCACGTGGAAGCATGTGAGTAATAGATGAAAATGTATGTTGAATTTGCACATTCGGTTCCTGATTTTATTAAATTACAGGAAGCCTATGAAATAACAAAAAGAACTCCCTGTGTTGTTTCCAGATAAATATTACCTACAGCAGAGAAACAATTAAAGTCAAATTCTGTTAAGACAAAGTTGGATGACCGTGATGTGAGGTTTTGATAAAGGTACAAAATCTGAAATATTACGTAAAATATATGAATATATTACAAATAGTTTTAAATATATTAGTTAGTATAGTTTATAAATTGAACTGAATAGAAATGTTCTAAATTACATATGGGTATTTAAAGACATTTGTATACATTTTAGCAGTACTTGTGAAAATGAGGCATTAATATTGAGTCATATTATTTCCACATCCACAGTGAATCAGTTACAAGACACCAGTAAAGACGGACAGACGCAGCTGCATTAGGGTTGGAGTTGTCACTAAACCCTGTGGTTGAGTTTCTCCTTGCCTCCCTCTATAAGCACTATGGTAATAACGACTATCAGTCTCTGTCATGGTACGGAGGTGTGTGTCCATTCATGCATGTGGTCAGAGATACTGCGTCTGTGTGTGGATAGGTATTTATCACATTATGGGAACTAAAATCTATATTCATGGATTTCAGAATGATGAGAAATTAGGACGGTTTCCCTGGCAATTAACAATGTAAAACAAAATATTATACTCTGGGAAAAGTCCTCAAAATTGTGCATATAACAATCTGAAACCAATGACATATCATAGGGACAAATGATATAAATCCTAGTTTGAAGTTCATACATGGGTAATGATATGTGAAGATCAGTTTAGGATTTAGTTAAAGGTGGATCATCAACCTGTTATGTGGATAGTATTCCTTGGCTTAGAATGTTCCGCAGTATGGCATTATCTAGACCTCCATGGAGACGTGCAGTTACAAGTCAGATCTGTGGAGTTACTCAGTGTATCTTCAAGATTAGGCAAGTAATAAGTGTGGCTAAGGTGACTGGTCTCCATGAAATTAATGTAAGTCAATGTAATGTCCCCAAGAAGCATGGAAACCCAAGAGTGTGTGTGCTTGTGGGCGGGCACTGATGAAGCGCTGATAGTGTCCGTCTATGGCAGATGATGTACAGCCTGCTGTCTCTGCGGGCAGATTGGATTTTCAGGCCTGCTGATTCGCTGAGAGATTGAGCCCGGACCTCCTTCAAGCACACACAGACAAAACAATAGCATAAAAACGCATCCACCTGCTGTGTCCTTGTGCATGGAAATAGGAAGTGAAAGTCCCACACTGTCAAAATATGGGCGATCTGATAGGCTAACCAACTGACCTTTTCCGTGATGAAAAACTTTATTAAGATGTCAGCCATATATGCCTTTGGGGGAAAGTACTTATACATGCTGTATGGACAATGAAAAAGGGCTGATTAGACAGAAAGGAACGAAAAATAAAATAGGGAGATTGCCACACCCTTTAAAAGTCCTTCACAGGCAAACTGTATGATTACAGTCCCTGCTATATAAGATACAATTGCATTGGTCCATGTTAAAAGGTCAAAGAAGAAGCCCTTACACTCTAAACATAGTATGCTGAATAACCACAGTTTGGTAGAATTCTTATATCCAGCCATGGTACAATGTTGCCATATAAAATGACATTTTTATAGTGAATTTAAAATTCAATGGTGCATATTTGTGACATCAAAGGTGACAAGTTCTAGATAGTGCATCCACCAGACACACACGCATGCACGCGCACATACGCACACACATGCACACACACTTGTGCTCCTACCCGTGCCTCTTGAGCTGCCCATGTGAAATTGATCTCCATTTGTAAAGAGCATAGATTCATTGTTGTGGGCTCGCTGCTGTCACTTTGGCCACAGCTGGTCCTCAGGGGCAGTACTGCAGCCTCTTCAGTCTTATACCTGTTGACAATCACTGCTGTTTACCCAATGGGCCTCACAACAAAGGCCTTTGTGTGCCTGTATTTGTGTGTGTTTACGGCACTTTGCTCAGAGCACAAAGGACCCACATGAACGGTCTTATTTTTCCACTTATGATCAACATAACTTTGAAAACTTTGGTTTAGCCAGTTATAATGCACAGTACAGTTAGTTGTGGGATCATTTATTTTAAAATATATGTATGCTTGTTTCTATAGAGGACTAAAAAGAATGCCTTGGACTGATATTGGTAACTGTCAAGCTCACTTTGCATTGCTTTATTCTTTCATATAACTGTTGATTTTGGCCTACATCATTGCCTTCTGAGACCACCACCAATCACTAACACATCGTATACTATATAGAATAGATGTGTCTTGCTTAAGGACACAACAACACTATGCATCGATCTGAGCTGACAGAACTGTCAACCACCACTGGCTAAACACGTAACTACTGATGCCTAATCTATTAATACATCAAACTATCAATCTATGGATGCCTTCCTGATGCAATTCTGATTCTCTATAGCTTCAAGATACGCTGCGGACTGCTTATCATGAATTTTGAACAGATTATTTATGTATTAGACAGAAAATATTTATACATGTAAATGCATCCAAAATATGTATATTAGTTTCACTCACGCAGTACTTTGCATCATGGTTAGCTGAGCGCAACACATTTGAGGAATTTCACAGACAAACTAAATTTACTTTAGGCCTAGATTGATGAAAAATACATTTTGCTTAGCCAGTCACTATTCTGTCTTCCTGTCAGGTAGGGCATCAAACATAAAACCTCTTACAGAATAATACCACACTGCCACAAGCAAGAAGAATATGAAGATCTATAATATTATTTTAAAATTGTATTGCTATTTTAAAGCATGTAGCTGCCGTGTATGTAGGATATGATGAAAAATAATTCCAAACATGAATACATAGCTTTCCCTCCCCTCTAATGGAAAAAAAACACTGTAGTTTACATTATGGTGACCAATTTCTGAGTGAACCCCTTAGACCCCAGTGTATCAATCTGGTCACGTGATGTTATGAATTTTGCCTGAATCCTTGACAACAACAACAACCGGATTTGGTGGAATCTGCTTATCGGGCGTTCTTAGCTGCCACACACAGAGAGGGGAAAAACACAATTTAGGATTAACTGATCTCTAGGCTCTTGTATAAGCATGTACATAATGATTACAGTAATAATGCTGATGAGTACAATTTTAAGACAGATTCTGCGTGGAAAGGGAAATGTAGCTTTGAGGACTGACCAATCAGCTGCATGCATAAGACGTGAAGGTTGGACTTGCTTTGATTTTTCATAGATGCTATTGTTACTATTATAAAGTAGGTTATGGTACAAGTGCAAAAGTGTGAAAGTAAAATCTAAAATAAATACACTGAACAGCGCTTTGGGTTTTACTGGATTAACAACCAGACTAACTGATTTGATAGTATTGTTTTTAGGCGATAATAACGGAATAGTTGTTTATATTTCTTGAAAACCACAGATATAATCTCACATTTGTCCAGAAGTAGTCCATGGTAGAAGAGGTTTCAAAATTTTGAACAATGTTAATGAAATAGAGATGAGATGGCATGAGTCTGTAGATGCTCATCTCCTTACCAGAAGGTGAGTGGTTTGATCCCTGCTAACCCCAATGCATACTGATGTTACTCTTTTCACAAGACACTTTCATAAGTTTGCCTGTATAAATATGTGTGTTTATTTGTAGTCATAGGGGCCATGTAGACACAGAACTGCAACCTCGCCTTTGTCAGAGTGCCCAAGGGCAGCTATGGTTTCAAATTCTGTGATTAAGAGTGATTGAGGAGTGAATCAGCAATGGACTTTAAGAAACTCTTTCTCAAAAAAAAAAAAAAAAAAAAAATCCAGGTTTTGTTAGTGTGGGTCTCCTCAATACCTCCCTCTTCACACAGTAGCCATGATTGGTCAGTTGAGTTTCTTAGGAGATCCAGGGTTTTGATTGGTCATCTCAAGAACCCCTGACCCTCAGCTGGACCAATCACATCATTTATGGACAAGATTCAAACTTGGTGACAAAAGCAGCCAAATCCCCTTGAGTAGATTTAACAATGCAGCCCTAGTTAAGACCACAATAGGTGTAGAAGTGTTGCTGTGTTAGAGAATTTCACGTAAAAAACTCCTCCTTACTTTCACTGAATCATGTACAACTTCAAACAACAGGAAACAACCAGCATTATTGATTTCAAATACACTAAAAAGCCTATAATTTATCTCAGCAAAGTTTTAAAAGAAGGCATTTAATTTTAGGTACGCTTTTCTTAAAAAAATAATAATAGTATTTGTCAGCAGCCAAAATCAAAAGCCTTTGTTTGTAGCTTGCAGATCCATTTCCCGACCATAATCACAAAAAGGCTGCTTGAGATAGGAGCTACAAAAGGTTTATTACCATCTATAATTGAAGTGGTGGATTTGATCTGGAGAGTGTGTTTTTCTCACTTATAATCATCTATATGGGCAGTATTCACTCATGTTATGGGTGTAATCCACTTAAAACATAAACATTTTATCCTATTGTGTCAAATCAGCCACAACAAGATGATTCTGAGCATTTGGCAGGGCAGATTTATTTATAATGATTGTGGCATAATTCACTGATATACTGTATGTTTAGTGCAGTTCAAAGCAAATGTGTGGAATAACATGGAATAGCTTCCTCTAATTAAATATGCATGATTTATGAACACTTATCAGGCATAAAATTATAACCAATGATGTTTCAGTTATTTTTACTAAAGGGCAATATATAGACAGCTGGGGCCAAATCACGCCCAAAATAGCTACTTTGATGGGGCCTTTTTGGTCTACAGTTGTCCGTCTATGAAAATGTTATTATAGGAATACACCCTTGTACAAATAGTGACTTGTAGGATGCAAAAATAAAAACATGTGGTTATAACATTATGCCTCACTAATATGCTAAACTTAAGTGGTAGAGGAAGTGTACTCCCATCATTAAATCTGTTTGATCATCCGTTTTGAATGTTGGTGAACAGCCTCTACAAAAGCGCCCACGTTTTCTGGGTCCATGTCTGGGTACAGGCCATGACCCAGGTTGGCAATGTAACCTCTGGTGCCAAATCCCTCCAACATCTTCTGAACAGTCTCTGAAATACGATCCTAGAAATGTAAGAACAACAAAAAAGAGAGTTATAATAATAGTAATATTGCTGCTTTTACCACTACTAAGGCTATGATAACTAGGTCAACAAACACAATACAAAAGACACATTGATTTGTGAATATGCCTTTCTTGTTTTTGTTACCTTTTTGTTGTTCTACTACTGCTGTTGTTGTACTTTGCTGTTGAAATGCTACATTTTTCATCTTTGTGGGACCAATAAAGTTTCTCATATCTAATCTTATCTCTTCTGTTTCAAATAATAAGAAAAGTATGGATACTCTGAGGAACCAAAATTAAATGTACTACACCTGATTTTTATGCTTTTAAACACATGAAAAACAGAATTAGTTCCATTTAAAGTGTATTCTTAGTATCCCATTTTATATTATTCACTGTGATGAATTTACAAGCACTTTTCACAACCTTCTGAGGCAAGAATGGAGTTTAGCCACCACTGTAACGCTAACAACACATAGACTATCAGCACCACCATTACAAAAAATGGGCACAATCTGCTGAACTGATACAAGTAACACTACATTTTTCACCCGTGCTGATAAGATAAGTTGTGTTGTGTTGGTTTACCTTTGGAGCATACAGAGCACAGGGGTCCATGTTTCCCTGTAGACTGACCTTCCCTCCTGTACGCTCCCTGAACACAAATAATGTACAAAGAGTAACCATTTAACCAGTGGCTTATGTATTTGATGAGCAAAAAACAACACGTGTTCACAGTGACGAGTAATGGTTAACTACAGACCATGGTCAAACAAGCTTCCTGTTCGCAATTCTTCAGTATTTGAGGGGGGGGGACTAATCCCACCTCTTATACATACTTTTAGGACATATTGTATTTACTTTTTTGTTTTATTTATGTACACACCTGAATATATGTACATTATTTGACACACCTTTTGCTATTTTTGCAAATTTAATCATTTTGAATTGCATTACCTTTTTGTTGCTATTATATTATAATATGTGACCTACTGTATCCAAATCCTAATTTCACATATATAACAGCTGTAGCCTTTTTGAGCCCTATGAAACACATTCTAAGTTATGTTTTTCTTCTTGGTTAAATGCAAGATTGAAAGAGTATTGAATTTTACATCAAACATCTATCCCCATGCAAGACGAGGAGGCTTCAGGCTGTCTAAAAATGGCTTACATTGCCCCCTGTGGCCAAATTCTTTTTTACAACAAAAATGTACAAAGTTTGATCAATTGGTTTCAAAATTTCAGAAAAAAAAACGAATTACTTTGCAGTTCAGAAAGATGGTGGGTAAATAGTTTTCACTGATATAATGTGAAGTAGAAGAAATCATAATTAAATGTATGTATTTTTGGTGAACCTATATTTTAGAACTTTTATAGATACTAGTATGTGTTACCGTGCTGATCGGGGGTCAATGGTCCAGTCCAGTCCCACCACCTCATAGTGAGACTGGGACAGATCCTCCAGGCCATAATGAGCATCCTTTGCAAAAACAATCTGAAAAAAGCAGCAAACTCAAGTTAGCTTATTTTCAAATCAGCACTTCTCTAATTGAAATTAGTTAATAAAACAAATGATGAAAAGAAATCTATTATTAACTTCTGCTCCATAAATGCAAATATTCTGCAAAATATAATGTTTCTATTTGTTCTTATTTCAAATTTAATGTTGTAAATATTTCTGTATGGATAACATCGCTTTAAGCTTTAACCGTAAGAGCAATGCTACCCCCTAGTGGTGATAAAATTAACATGCACGCAAACAAGACCAGATAATGATGCCTCTAGAGAGAACAGTGAAGATCAAGCACCAAGAATAGACTAGAGCTGATACAACACTGAATATAATTATAATAATACTAACACAATAACAATGTTGTGAATTTTAATTGCATGTTTTTATGTGCCCAAACTCACCATGGGAACATCCTGGCCTGTCTCTTTGAGTTTTTCTTTGACTCGTTTGGCGATGTCTCGGAGGTACGGAAGGGAAAAGTCCTTGAACTGAACTGGGCCCAGAATACCTGCGTGGGACTCAAACACCTGCAGAGCCTGAAAAATAATAATGTAGTTATTATTACAATGTTTTTAAATGGCCTAAATTAAACTTTTTTCACAATCAAGAATGATAAGAATTATTATAACTTACTAAACAAATATTTATACAGTATATAATACGGTTTCGGCATGCCAATTAATTCAAGTTTTATAAACTGATATTGTCTTTATTCTTTTTAAATGGACTGAAAAGAAAATGCTTTAGTGGGTCGGCAGAGTAAGGTCAGGTGCTCTTCAGCTGCGCATCACAAGAACATAGCCTTAAGACAGAAGAAAAATACATTGTGACTACATTAATTGAGCCTGACTTAATTCCAGGTTATTTATGTATGTGTGAGTTTAGAAACAAATGTATACCCAAAATATATTTCTGGATTTTACCTGTGCCCCTGCTGCTACCTGTCCTAGCAAATACTCCACGATGACGTCTGTGAGCATCTTCAGCAGGATGTGGCTGGCCTCTGGGTGTCGGTACAACCAGCGTTTGGCCTTAGAGTGAGTGTTAGAGCCTCCGCCTTCAATCATGTATGACATCAAGGTCCACTGTTGAAATAAAAAAACTTCATAATAAGGCAAGTCACTAAAGAATAAAGAACCATAAAGGAGGAGTGTATGAATGATTCACAAAGCACATGATAGACTCCCAGATTTTTTAACCATGGTTGTACAAAAGTTTATCTAAAATAAAATAGTTGTGCATATTGTCGATCTTCCCTCTCCACTGTAATTACATTTGCCTTGTTAAATAGTTATATAATAACTAAAGGCTAAAAAGCTATTAAAATATACAATATAAAATTAGCCCAACTTCAGAAAATGAAGTTATTCAACAGCAGAAGCAAATAAGGTGTTTGTGTTATAAATATTACAGCATATCCATGGGTGGGAAGTAACTAGTTATAAATGGGCAATATTCTACACTTTTGGGGCAACTGTGCTTTTTTGAGTAGCTTGTAATTGAGTATAATAATTAAGCATTTGTAATTGACAACATTTAAAATCACTGGACTTGGTCCGATGAGTACTAGTAGATACTATAGTACCTACTGAGCTCTACTATGTATAGCATGTCCCAGTCAAGTTTTGTGTAATCAAGTTTTAGAATTAAATGCTACTAAAAAGTAAATAAAACAAATATTTTCATGCAACTGTACTTTTGCTCTACAAATTGTCACCACTGATCATATCTGATATAATTCTACTGTGTACGTCTATGTTTCAGTGCACGTGTGTCATGACTCACTGGAGCTCCAGTGAATCCGATGAGTGGCACTTTTCCCTCGATCTTGTGCCTGGTCAGGGTGATGGCCTGAAAGACATATCCCAGCTCCTTCTCTACATCCACTTTGGGGCGTAACCGCTGCAGGTCTTCGGGGTCCTTTAGGGGGTCAGGGAATGTAGGCCCTTTACCTGCAACCATCTGTACATCCATACCCAAGGCCTGCAGACAAGAATGGATAACAAGTCTACAACTATGTAACTGAATTTTAATGAAATGTAATAAGGAGACCCATGAAAGCACTGACCTGGGGTACCACTAAAATGTCAGAAAAGATTATGGCAGCATCAAATGGGAAACGTCTGAGGGGCTGAAAGTAAATGCAAAACACATATCAAATAATGTATCTTTCACAGTTTAAAATGTTCAATAAAATAATGAATAAAATCTTTACCTGCAGAGTGAGTTCACAACAGGCTTCTGGTGAGCGACATGTATCAAAGAAATCTTTTCCAGCTCTGGACTCCCGAAACTCTGTCATATTACAAGTGAAACATGAAGATTTTAGTGAAAAGAATATATGATCAAGTATAAATGGAGGACATAATAATGCAAAGTTGTACCTGGGAGGTACCGCCCTGCCTGCCTCATGCACCACACAGGGACATGCTTGGTTTCTTCTCCTCGTGCTGCTCTGAGGAACGTGTCATTCTGAAGCTTGGGGAAGTCTTTGGGGCTGAGAACAGACATGTACTTTGTCAGATACATTTGTAATACCTACTTAATTAATTGTTCCTGTGATCGCTATTGGCATTTGTACTCCAGATTACAAATTGGTTAGAAAAGACAATTATCACAGACATCTTTTTTCCAAATTTACAATAATCTTGCCATTTTTGTCCCACCCCTAATCCATACATCTGCATAGAGCAAACGTAAAATGAGGGTTTAGAGTGACTCAAAGCAAAGAGCCTGAGGTAGACAATACTGAACCCAAAACCAGCTCGAGTGAGCAGACTGATGAGAAGCCCAGGACAGAGATAAGCTCAGACTCTGCTCTTATCAAACTTCAGCACAATAACGGTTATTTACAGACTGTAAAAAAAAAAGGTTCTACACAATGTTATATCTTCAAACAAAGAGAAAAAAAAATTAAAAAATATCAGCCTAAAATGATGTGTGCAAAATCAATATAACAGGCAATATCTAAAAAAAAATAAAATAAAATAAAAAAGCAATCTAGAGTAAATGTCAAGATGCACTGTAACTTGTCTGGTCTCCATGGAGCCATGGAGATGTTTTTACTTAGTGGAATGGTTGACAATAAGGCATTAAGCATATCCATCTCCATGGGGACGAGCAGGTGACGCCACCAAAAAAACTGCTGCGCCTTTTTATGGCTGACCAAAGTTTTCATAATGCTTCAAACATTGATAAACATTAGCAGTGTGAGCAAGCACATTAGGCCACATAATATATACCACAATGAGAGACTATTGCGTAAAATCTGATGAAATACAATGATAAGACCTGGATAAGACCTGTGCGTAAGTTTGAATGGTTTCATAAGGATAATGTAACGCAGTAAAGTTCACAAGGTACACGAGTATGTAACGGGATACTGAAAGAGAACACTCACAGGATCAGCTCGTCCTTGCTCATTTCAGCGGTACAGAGGAGCCTGGCTTTGAGTTTGTGGGACGTGTTTCTGCTTCAGTGTCTCCAAAACCTGCACCTCCTCAACTGTCATCTCCACTCGTTTGCACAACACTGGACCCGCTGCAGGGCGCGGCCATGTTAGACAGTCATGTGACCCGGAAATACGAGCCTTTTCCAAATAAGACTCAAACATTTAGGATATATTTTTATTATTATTACAGTTATTTACATTTTTTGAGTGATGATCGTGATATCACATGTGTTTATTTTGAAATATTGCTCTGCTCTTACTGCTCTGCTCAGTCCACTCAATCCTCATGAATTTTATCTGTTATACATGCTACAATTACATTTGAGGTTAATTTGAAGTCCTGTGGGTGTCATTCTTTGTATCGCCTACAGAGGACAACCTATTTGAATTAATTCCATGTCCCTATGTGAACTAACATGCTGTTAATCCATTTGGGACTTTGAGTCATCATTTTTACCAGGAACTCTTGAGCTGCTTTTCATGTTAATATCATGTTTTATATTTCTCTCAGTCTATAGCCTTTTTTTAACAATCTGCGCATTATTTTTTAGAAACATAACATTGGCTTACATTAATTTCCTAGAGACTGGCAACCTTAGCCTCAAATATAGTCACTACTGACTAACCTTATCCTAAACTCTAAACTCAACTTCTGTAATATGGATCTAATATTGATAAATAATATCACATGGCTATTATCTGATAAATACCCGGCCACACATACTAAACACATTCACAACATTCAGCAATATAAAACATTCTGTACAAAAATACTAACAAGCCAGTAAAAGTGAATTGTCTATGATTAGGTCTGTTCCTGGTACTGTGCTTCTGTAGAGGTATAAAAGTCATCAAGGACGCTCTGTAAGTAGTCAAAGGTGGGCCTCTCCTGTGGTTTGTCTCTCCAGCAAGACAGCATGATATTGTAGAATTCAGAGGGACAGTTTTGTGGCTGGGGCATCCGGTATCCACGCTGAATACTTGACATCACCTCCACTTTAGTCATTCCTTAAAAAAATAAAATAAAATGTAAATAATATTTGCAACAATTTAATGACAAACAAAATATTGGGATATATAGTTTAGATATTTGCATTACATTTTGAATAACTGCCAAAGCTAGTCGTAAACAGATTTACATAGTGCTACAATACTACAGTAAAGTTATACCAAAAATAAAGGAGTGTATTTGCAAGAACAGGTTAGTGCTAAATCTTTTTCAAGCATACACAGCTTTAAAGCAGTAAAAATGTCTGTATTATATATACCTGGATAGGGCATTTTTCCATAAGTGATAATCTCATAGAGCAGAACCCCAAAGGACCACATGTCCGACTTAATGGTGAATGACCCGTAGTGAATGGCCTCTGGTGCTGTCCACTTTATGGGGAATTTGGCCCCTGAAAGATAACACAACACACTTACAGACATTTGGATTTGTCTCAGATTTAATAAGAAATCAAACTGCTGAAACAACATTATCCTCTATAGCTGCAGTATGCATTGTATTATTACAGATGACCACTTCTGAAGGTTCTGTTTTTCCTCTACTAAGAAAAAAAAAAGTTTGTTAATCTTTTTGGCCTATTTGTAAAGTGTCTGGATAATTCTGATTCATATTTGAGAAGGTGATATTTGAGACATAGAGCACACACCAATTTCACTAGGAGTTATTTAGAATAGCCTACTAGAAGAGCACAAGAACAGTAATAATAATAGTTTTAGCACTAATTTAAAAATCAGAATTATATGGTGTATTACTCCTGGTCCATACCACCCAGTGTTTCCAGTTTATTTTTATTTATTTATTTAATTATTACAGTGATAATTAAAAATGAAAGTGTTACACAAACATCTTTTACATTTAATTCACATTTCATAACTGTAAGTAATTTTCACAGTTGTAAATGGAAACTGGACACTGACTGCGGTTCATATGTTTGTTTGAGTATTGGTAAATAAGGTCCACAAGCCTATTGTGAAAATAACAGCAAAGCAAATCACTATATTTAAGTGATGCTAATGTCTTCCACAGAATAAGGAAGTAAAACATTAAACAAATTAAACAGTAAAACAATCTTGTTAAATACTTACTGGCCAAACTAAAAATATTACCTTCTTTAGGTGAATATTCGTCATCTTCTATCACTCGCGCCAATCCAAAATCTGCTATTTTACACAATAGACTTTCTGATACCAAGACATTAGCCGCTCGCAGGTCTCTGTGGATATAATGCTTCTTTTCTATGTAAGCCATGCCCTCTGCTATCTGAAAAAGGCAGAACAATGTTCATGGGTTTCAACTTCCTGTTAGAAGTGATATTTTGAGAACTTCTAAAGATTGAAAAGATACAGTATTTGATTTACAATATTAATTGCTATGGCAACTGTGCAAATTTTTCATTATACTGCCACTCATGCATAGTGAAATTCAAACTTTGCCTTATCTCATTTGAATTAAAAAAACACTTAAAAGGCCCTCGTAGGAAATCATTTTCACAATTACTGACAAATAATAGCATACATTATTGATGTGCGTGGTCTACCATTTTTTCCACTGATAGCTGATGCAGTGTTTTTCAGTTTCAGTTGTGGCTTGTTGGTGTAATAAAATATGTATATTTTTGGCTACTGAGCTGACCTAGTTCTGTTATTGCCATTACCTGTGCTGAAAAGTCTATGAGCTTCGGTAACTGTATTTTGCACCCTGTATCCGTTTTTAAAAAGTCCAGTAAACTGCCTAAAACACAAATGTTATGGTTAGTTAGAAAACACTCACATGAGCCAACATACATTTATTTATTACTCACCATTTGCCATGAACTCTGTGATGATATAGATAGGCTGTGTTTTGGTGACCACGGCATAGAGTCGGACCAGGCGGTCATGCTGAAGGGTCTTCATCACATTGGCCTCGTCCAAAAAGGCTTGTACTGTCATTGTACCCGGCTTGAGTGTCTTCACTGCCACTTTGGTTGTATTATTATAGAAAGCTGAAAGGATAAAAAGTTTGTTCATTGGAATATCTCTATTACTCACTCTGCTTTTGTACAGTGCAGAATTTTAGTACTGGCTGGAGCCAAAACAGACAATCTATAGCTTCCTTTATATCATGAATTAAAAAAGAGGAACTACTCCCCCCAATATTCTTATGAATTCCCCTTCAGTTCAACACACCATGGAAACCTGTTTATTTCCTTCTAGATAAATGATTGTGGGTGGTTCAGGTCTAAAGCCTCAGACAGTAACATAATGGCTTCGACTGAAACTATATTAAGTAACTTGGTTACGCATACTGAATGCTCGATAATGTCTGTAACATTTAGACACATTACTCACCCATCCAAACTTCTCCAAACTGCCCAGCTCCGAGCTTCTTCACCATCTTAATGGACTCTTTAGAGATTTCCCACGCATCCTTATCCCAGGGTTTCTGAGCTTTAGGTTTAGCACACGGACTCCCCAGTTTACGACATAGTCCATCAGCTTTGTCTAAACCACACCATAGTTTATTTACACATGCAATTTATTGAGACATTTTATTTAAAGGTGCACAATGTAACTTTTCAGGTTGATGGTCAGCCAATGAAGTGTCTTCATGCATGGAGATGTATTGTTTTGCCTGGAATGCTCCATAGTATGGCATTAAACTTATCTATTTGTATTCCCCAAGGACTGAAGCAGGTGATGCCACCAGTAATGTGACACCAGGCCAAAGTAAAGGTCAGGTCTGTGTTTAAGCTCACTGTAAGAATGCATGAGCAATTAAAACACGAGTAATGAAATAAACGCAAGACAATCAGGTTAATGCCATACTGTGAAACATACCAGGCAAAGCAGTACATCTCCATGGAGACAAGAAAGTAACAGACCCTCACCCAAAAAGTGACATAGTCCAGCTTTAAGTTATAATAATGATTTACAATGTTGAAATAAAGGGTGTACTCACGCTGATAGTGTTTTATCATTTGGCCAATGTCTGGGAAGGAACTCTTTGGAGAGATGTAGAAACCACCGTTGTCCAGTTTCCTGATCTTGTAATGTTTGACAACATCCAAGCCTTTTGGGCCTGAGTCTCGTAAGGACAATGAGTAACCTGTATAATAAGGAAATAAAAATCAACAGAATTTTTTAAAAAGTCAAATCGTCTAAATCATCAAAATATTATACTAGATTTTACTAAATTTATTGAATATATTTTACACATTGTTTATTTTAATGGTGATATTTGTGGAATCTAAAATGAAACTAATTGAAACTGTGCTGTTAAAATGCATTGTCCTTCCCCCTTTTCCTCTTCTATGCTGTTAATAATTGCTATGTACAATTACGATACCTTGTGAAGTCTCACTATCCCTGATGAGAAAGGCCCCGGGTTTGTTAGCTGGAGCCAGCAGCTGCCTCTCTGCATCTTTTCTAGTGATGGCTTTGAAAAACCACCTGAAGGAAAACAATACAGAAATGAAAACTGATAACTCACTAATAGTTCAGTGAGTTTGGTGCAGTTTTTTCTATAATGCATTGTTTTGTATTTAAATAACAATATTTCTGATTATTTACACAAGAATAAATTTTTTTTTCTTACTCTTCTGTTTCCATTGTGTCAACTTGTGCCACATAATTAGAGGGAATAAATCCTTCTTCTTTGGTTTCCAAAGATTTTGCCTTCCACCACTCTCCATGTCTGTAACAGCAATATGTGAAAACATAAGAAGAAAATAATATACTATATATTTTCTATTCATTTACAAGAACCACATCTGATTTCTCATGAAACACTGAAGATTTGATGATGCAAGTTTCTGTGAACTCTTGACTCTGCACTTGTCATTATGGGTCTTGCACAACAGCTGAAATGCCTAATGTTTTTTAAATTTAATGCACCTACATAAGAAACACTCACTCTTCCAGGATGACCAACTTTTCGCCTTTTTTGAATTGTAAGTCATCTGGGTGTTTTCCTACATAGGGGTAAAGGCCAACCACAATTTTCCCATTTTGCTCTGAAAAAGAAAAGTAATAGAACAATCAAAATAAATTCTTTTGTGGTGTTTGCTAGACCATAGCCACAACAATCATAAGAGTAGTATTTTATAAGAAGAGTTAGGTTGATTTTAACAATAGAAGAGTAATTCACATAGAGATTATATAACAGATTATATAAATAGGGATGTAAGGGCCACAATGCCTTCACCTAAACATGTCCACACATTCTTCTAAAAAACCATAATGTAGAAAATATAAATTATTTGAAATCATATTTATAACAACTGACAAAACTTAAACTAAACTGTAATTGGAGGTAAGAACTAAACTAACTTTTAGCTTGTGGACATGTGACCTCATAATAAACTTGTAAATGTCTTGATCATTTTAGGAATAATTCTTCTTTTTATATTAGCAACACAGTAATCAGTGTGTACCTTCCATCTTCTGAAACATCTGACCAGGCAACAGTGAGGCGTCCTGTAAAAGCAAGAGCATGTGATTGTTGTTTTTGAGTGGAATTTTCACTAATAACAGCCATTACAATTTTAGTTTTACTCATTTTAAAATACACCTAAATCTCTTCAGTTAGAAAAGCATTAACATTGCTTAGGTTTGCTGTTCTTTAGGCTACTTACTGCATGTTTTTGTATAGTGGAAGTGGGGTCTCTGACATAGAGGTCATTGGTAGGTGCAGTAGTCTGCTGACCTGGCTTGTTTTCCACCTCAAAATTATCGCACAGTTTTGTCTCCAGACAGCCCATGTTGTCTGCACAGGAGGAAGTGAGAAACATGAAGTATGAAATGTTAACATAACAATTAATATATCGAAACCAACTGAACTCATAACACCTGTCCAACTATTCATCTGTACTAAAATAAAATAAAAAAATTCAGTCCATTTATTTCTCATTCCTCTTACTTAATGTTGTCACCATACTCACCTTTCAACCCTATTTTCAATACAATACTCAAAACAGATTCCAATAACACAATCATAATTATTGCAATCAATAATAATAATGTAATTTTCAACACAAAAAATGATGATGATGATGATGACGATGACGATGATTATTATTATTATTATGTGATCTAATAATGGATATAGATCAGATAGAATTCTAAAACTTTATAGAAAGGTCAGGTCTACAGTAATGATACTTGGGGTTAATTGAAATGACACTGAAATGAGTATCTCGTTTCAGTTCTACAGATTTAGCACTGATAATCAATCTATCTGTTTTGGTCTGCTTTATCTGGCGCCGGGTCGTAGACTAGGCGTGCATGAGAAGGTGAAGTAGGTCAGTCAAATTCATTATTGTCAGATTGCATTTCAAATTATTTCTTGGAGTAGGGGATTTGGCAAATATTGCAGCGTGTACAATATGAAATGCACTAGTTGTAGGGGGTAAATATGATGTTGACAGCGTAGAGAACAAAAACATAGTTGGCCATATGTCCCATTCAACATTTGGCCAACTGTCAAAGACCAGATTCAGACTTATAACTCTGAGATGGGGGGGGGTAATGTGTTGCTTTTCCTTCTACCCTCACTTCAAATCAATCAGTCAAACTACACTGGATAAATGTGTTATATTTTCAGATGACCTAAACTAGTTTTGGTTAGGTCATTACTTTAACAGGTCAGGTGTTACATGCATGTCATAACCTCTTTATTTCAGCAAACAGGAAACCAATGAGCATTAAAAGTAGTTGCAAATTTTATGTTATTTCCAAGACATGTTTGTAATCTTCATAGTTTTCCCATGAGGGCTTTGATAATGGGTGTGTTTCATTAACTTTAATCCTGACACATTAACTTCATTTGCAACATTAGGCAATATTTAACTACTACTGTGTGAAAATGTGAATGTTATAAATGTAGACAGTGGTATTTTCTTCTCCAGGTGGTCACGATAAACTGGATGGTCCTGCTTTATTAGGACTTTCATGGTTGTTTGATTATGAATGGGCACCATGTATGTCCAACTTTGTTTGTGTTTACCCAGGGTTAACAAATGACAACAGACTACATTCCAGGTGAAATAAAGGATATAGCATGCCAGTAAAAAGTATACAACATGGTGTCATCCATATTTTAGTCATAGGGATGTAAAGCCTTAGTCAAGTGATTCAGACTTATATTTTTAACTGACAGGAAACAAAGAGCTAACTAAACATTTTACATATCAGCATTTTAATCTCAAAAGCCATAGACAAGTATCACTTCCCTGCTTGAGCCAATTACATCCAGGAAAGCGTTGTCCAGTAATAGCAAACAAAATTAAAACTATCCAGCAAAATTTTAAGTTTAGTTTTTAATATTTTAATGCCTCATGCATACGCTATTTTCTGAGCCATGTTATAATGTTGTTTCCTCATCAAAAACATACCTGGATTTGTGCTTTCTTTCATTCACATATGTTTAACAAACAAATCATGCATATTTAGGCTGAGTTCTTGTCTCAAACAGAAAACACCTTGTGATGTCATGTAGTAATACAAGAAGTGCTCCACTGTGTTTTTGAACTCTATACATTTTCACTAGAATCATTTGGATCATTTCAGCCCTGGAATCACAACTGAACCAAAAGTAAAAGGAAGCTGTTAACATGAATACTACCACTACATGACATCACAAGGTGGAACAGAGCATTTTGACCTTTGGATATGTAGGCAAACTAAAATTAAAATTATTCAAACATGTGTGAATGAAACAAAACACAACTCCAGGTATTTTTATGGTGTGGTAAGAACATTCTAACACGTCTTAAAGCGCAGTCAAAAGATCATGATGTCAAAACAATACAACTAACTGATTTAGATCACAAATATGAAATCCATTACAAAGCAAGCAAAGATAAAGATTGGGAAGTTTAATGACAATACTTGCCAATACTTCGTTATAAACCTGTGGGGAAAAAAAAAAAAAACTTTTTCATTTAAATTTTTTTTCTTACCTTAAGTCATGTAGCCTACAATATATTCCAGTTTATTTATTTAGTTTGTTTTTTTTCTCTCTCCAATTTCAAGTCCGTCTGTTTCGAATTAGTTGTCAAACTAGCGGTTCGCACAGCGTGAACAGCACGACAAAGACTGGAAACTAGAATGAGGAACTTCACTATGCCTTAGGGGATTTTTCACCGTTTTACTCAAACTTCCTGGTACAATTGTCTAGAGGCTATTTGCACGGTCCACTGAATGATACCCCCCAGTGGTCTTAGTGAAAATAATAGATTCTTATCCTTGAGGTCTACAAGGGATTAAAAAAAAAAAAAAAAAAAGGTATGGTATGAAGTTACAATATAGGCAAATGCCTAACGTATCTGCGTAGTTGTTGCTAAAATATATTCAGGACATACAAAAAATAATTTAACATTGATTTATCTTGCTTTATATCTTGCCCCCCAGCGACCCCTGCTGTTCAAAGTGCACAGTAGCAATTAATATATCTAGGAAGCATCAAATAGGCCTATATAGAATCAAATCGATTTTTGTGTTTGTTTATCCCTCTGCTCTCTGTTGACAAAACCACACAGTCACGGTAATAGCGTTTTAAGAATGATCATTTATTGTTTTGCCACCAGCTTGTGTAAAAAAGAAAATGGGTAAAGAGACAAGCACCGTGTGAACATTACCATTAGCAGTATCATGCACCTGCCTGGACAGTACATGCTGGAGAATGAATGAATTGTTTACACAGTGTTTTTATATTGAGTAACTAGTCACATGGCAGTTTAAGGCCTGATTATTAGAAAAGATTACATTGAGATTATGAAGTGGTGTTTATAAAATGATTTGCATGCAGATACACACTACACAGCACAATGGCAGAGGATGTTAGTGGTCACATAAAGGAAGTTAAGATTGTGTGTTTTTTATGCTTGGCAAAAGTACTGTTAGAAAAGACATTACACTATCATTTCCCATTGTTCTGTATTTTTGGCCTATTTTAACCTTTAATATACAATAGCTGTCTATGTTCACAGCTCAACATTTCCCCTGTCCTTTTTTTCTTTACAGCACTGAGAAAGGAAGCACAAGTTATTAGCTGTATAATTGTTTAAATGTTACTCTTATTGTTATAATTATGATATGTTGTGAATACATATCTTTTTTTTCCATTCTCTCCATTCTGCATCTTTTCATTAACATAATAAATTGTTTTAATTCCACATTTTAGTTTGGGTTGGTAATGGAGCAAAATTTTAGTAAGATTTCTGTACCATGTGGTGCAAGTTCCCATTTTAACTCACTAAGAGGGTAAAGGATCACTTTGGGTAAATTTGTTTTTTTAGTTTGTTTGGCAAGACAAGAAATCATATCTTCTATCATTGCAGAGGTCTATAAACTCCAAGAATTATGATCTTTTCTTTGTTACACGTAAATACCATAAACCTGTCCTTTGCACAGTACAATAAGAAACAACTATTTTCACTTGTAAGAGCACATATGTTCATATCACAGCGATGCCGTTTCAGTGGTCAGTGTCTTTCATAGGTCCTTTAGTGTTGGACGATGACACATCCACAACCTCTACCCTCCAGTGCTGGGTCCACACGTTGTGAATGGCTTTACAGTGTAGAAGCTCCATGTTCTGGCAGTAACAGTATGAGTCAGGTTAGCTGTTCCTCTGCCCAGCCTCCCTCTGGGCTGAGGAGACGCTCTGGCCGTCCTCTGCTTCATCGCCTTCTATGAAGGGAAAAAAGCATGATTCAAGCATTATTACTGTTCAAGAATACTGTTAGATGCACTGGATACACTGAAAAAAGATACACAGACACTTTTTGGACGATAATAACAACTCCCTGCCAGCCTTCAAGCACATGGAATAGACCATATGCCGGACATTTAGGCCATTAACCCTCTCCAGGCAGGCGTTGCAGATTTGCAACAGCTAAATTCCAAGTACCTACTTACTCCACATCCATATTATATGAGCTTTTTTTACTCAGGAGCCTTTTTTCCCATCCATGCTGATAAACGTGGACAATGCAGACTGTGCAAGAATGGCTACACGCAAACGGCCTGCCAGAAGTGCAAAATACTTTTTTTGTTTACAAAGGATAAAAAAGTCAGAATTGTATATTACTACCCCATATTATAATTTTCCCCAAATATCAGATTTTTCCTGATACTAAAAATTTATTTGAGCTTGAGAGGGTTAAATACCCTGGACTTAAAGAAGACCTTGATTTTTACAGTATTTTATACTTGTTTGTATTCTTCACTCTTTTTATCATTGGTACTTGGGTTAATACCACCATCTAGTGGTATTTTTAGTCACTGTTCTCATAGTTTCACGTCCCACACTGCCTCTGTTACATGGGGAAGCACTATTGGTAAAACCTATCACATGGTATTTTAGAGTTCTGTCCGCTGAAGAAGGCCAGTAGGCTGAAACATGTTGGAGCTCAGTTCTATTAAGACATGAGATAATCAATAAAGGCATTTTAAATGTATAAGAGAGTGCTTTGTTTTATTTTGCTTGATTTTGTTTTGATTAATTCATTTTATTGTTTTGGATTTTTGTACATTGACGGCCCGTTACCAAGAGCACATCTTTAAAAATGTTTACTACTTTTCATCACTGCCTGAAGGTCCATGAAGCACTCCTTGATATACTTTGTTCAAGAATGTAAGAGTATTTGTTTGTAAATATTTAAATTATCTAAAATTATTAAATCAGTCAGGTGCTGGGTTTTTTGTAAGCAATTGTTTTTACCTGATTCTTTCATGTGGTATAATAAAAATGATTGAAAATATATTGTGTCAATGTAACAAATGTAAGAATAGACATGGTTGCACTTGATTTTATTTGTGGTTTAGTTGTAAGATTACTGATTAATTGGTCCTGATCTTCTTTGTAAAATTGTAAAATTATTAAATGCTTTATTTTTGTAGAGCCCAAAATCACACCAGCAGTCGCCTTACAAGGCTTCACAAAATTCTTAACTTAACCAACAGAAAGTTTAAAAAATCAAACCAGCATACTGAAGTTGGATATGTAGAATGTCAGGATAGAGACTAAAGACTACTTGGATGTACTGTATATGAAGTGAGGAGAGACAACGCAGTGCCAACACTGTAACACACCTCCCCCTCCAGCATTGATGTGTAGTTGGGACAGGGACAGCGTGAGGGGCATCTCACGTCCCTCAGGATCCGTGGGACTCTGAAGGATGTCGTGCATGGCGTTCCTCCGTCCCGTCCTGCCCGAAGCGATGAAGTCTGCATATGTGGCCTCAACATCAGACATTGCTCGTACATTGTTCAATCAGCTGCACCTAAAGCGATGAAGAACATAAAGTTTTCATTGAGTTTATGTATAGTGCTGCAGAGAAACATTTGACATGAAGTGACTAGTCTGGATTTGTTTCTTGTATTGGCCTGTAAAAAATGACCTACCAAATAATACCATACAAGAAATGTAAGAGTACAAAAAAGAGATGATGGGGTGCGTGCATTCCTATTTATGACCCACCCTGACAAACAATAACCACAGTGCAGTATAAAGATGGAACATATTGATGTATTAGTAATGACAGTGACTTATGCTGGTAAGATGGGCTAAAGGGTGTGAGGTGAAATTATAACACGCCATAGGCCAGCAGACAATTCTGGTATTTGGCAAAGGGTTGAAAATGAATCCTTCTATAAACAGAAAAACCTACCTTGAGTGACAACAGCCCAGTGTTGTGAACCGGCTACATGCTCAGGGAGTGACTTCATCTACAGGGCAGCGCCATGGGCCCAACAGCCCAGCAACAAAGCCTCTACCAAACAAACGCAAGAACACACACTTGAGGTAAAGCACAGTGCGCGTCTGCAGGATGGAAATGCGCCGTGTCTTCAATATAGTCAATGCGTAAACGTAATAAATGCGTTATTGTCCGGGATATCGGGATACGGTTAGGGAAAGCCAGAGTCGATTCTCCACGGCCGTCGCATCTTCCTCTTTACTGACCAATCAGAGCCCAGATATCCCAATCTTAGCGCTGATTGGCTGTCGCACACAAAGGGATGCGAGTAGAAAGCTCCAGGCAGCACCAGGGATAAATACTTCATTTAATGTCCACTTAATAAACTATGGTTCAGGAGTGTGTTCACATATATACCTACATACACATCATAACATATGCTTATGCTATGCTGTACCAAATATTTTCAAATGCTGACAATTTGACATATATAACAATCACGCTCTAAAATTTCTCTGATGTTGTTATGTAAAATTAAACACACGAAATGTATTTGCACAGTTGGTTCTGATTTGATGATTTGGGATACTGATGATATCATTATCGTTATGGGGTTGTTTATTTTGCAATGCGTTTTCAAACCACACGAGGGCGCCACATGACCTAAAAATGATTAAAGAAAGGGCGGAACTAAATGTTAGCCAAACAGCACACCACCTGTTGACAAAGTGATTCTCCTCTTTGTTGTTTGGCTACTAATGGGAATTTAGCTTTAAATCCTTAGGTTTATTCATTGACAAAATGTATATGGTAGGTGTACCTTTCTCATAATTTGGTTCATATGGGCTTAACATGATTGTACTGATGATAATGGGTTTGAGCTTTTCCAGTAATTTTCTAATTCTGTGTAGCTCGCCATTTAATGAAACTGGATAACATAAATGTAGGTTTTAAAATGCTCCTATCTCTCTCACAAGTGCTCTCCATCCTCTTCAGCCCCAGCCTTCGCAGTGAACATGTCCCTATGCTGGAGTCATCCTCTAACACAGGCAGTATCTTCAGTTGGAGCACGTCCTCTCCTGATGGACACTGAGCAGCTCTACTCAAGCAGACAAGTGGAGGGCTTAAGGGGACTTCAGTTTTTAGATTAGGTCAGATGAAACTTTAATGATCCCCATGGAGATGTCAGGTCATTAGAGGAAAGAGAGCAGATAAGAATAGCTCACATGGAGTGGGCTGGAACAGAGTGTCGAACAAGTAAACCATCTTTTGGGTGATGCAACCAGTACACTCTGAATAAACAAGGAGTGGGGTGGAAAAAAACTGAAATGTAAAATTGAAATATTACTACTTATGATTTTTGTGTCAGAGCTAAATCTGAACATACATCTCATACACAAACAAAACAATGTGTGCAAGATTTAGTTTCCCATTGAAGCTCTTGACTGTGGCAAAAAGAACTCCCAGCTGAGTGCACAAAGAAGCGCCAGACAAAAGGAATTGTGAAGGAGACAAATATAGACCGAGCCAAAAATGAAAAGCAATAAGAAGATGCACAGCCAGATAAACAGGGATAGACTCAATATGTTTCCTATTGTCTGGTCATTTCCTTTAGATATCCAAATGTTGAATGTACAGCCACCCTTGAAAAAAACAGAAACAAAGCACATTGACATACATATATTCACTATAGCAGTTTGTTTTCCCCTGCTCTTCATCAAATTACATCAACACAATACATTGACACCGCATGTAAATCAAACATCAAAACATACTTGAGCCTCCAGAAAGTGTATAAATCAGCAATCGGCTATTCCAATGAAAAGATTGCTTAATAGAGACATTTTGAGACACGTGGTGAACAGCACAATGATCCTTGTCTCCATGCATCTTCCACTTACGCAATCCCTCTCATCACCTGTAGGGGTCGCTGCTGATGCTGGTACTCAGCGCTGTCTGTCAGTCCGTCTGGCAGCAGTGGAGGTGGGTGAGGAGGGGGGTTGTTACGCTGCGAAGCAAGAGAGAGAGAGAGAAAGAGAGAGAGATAGAGAGAGTGAGAGGGGGAGCTCGCACCTCTGCCGCTCTGCCTGGCTGCTCCTGTGCGCAGTGCTCTGAGCCACGCCGCTTCCTCGTCCCCTCCCTCCCTCCCTCGCGCACAGCTGGCTCTCCTCAGCCCTATCTGTTGGATGCTGGCTGCGTTTGCCCGGTTTCCTCACCGCTACTACGGACTATACATCGAAGCAGGAATGATGGTCTATCGCCTACTTTGCATGGTGTGATTTTTGGGGGAAGCACGCGTCGGAACCGGAACGGGGAGTCCAAGGAGGAAAGAAAGGAAGACTCTCCATCCCCATCGAGGGAATTGATTTTACAGTAAGCAGCTGCAATGTCATTCCCCTATTTTGCTCGTCTCGCACCTCTAAATGCTTGGGGATACGTTGCCTAATATGACAGGATGCTGGGAATATGTCTAGTTGCTATGTAGTGCTGCTAAGTGTGTGAATGGTCGAGGCGTGCAGCGTAGCGACTATGTGGGGCGCTGTGTAAAAGCGTTGTGGTGCGCTCGCATTGATTGTGGGTTGAAAATGGAAAACCCCCGTTCTATGTCTATCCATCCATACTCGCCATCCTTCTATCCATCCCTCCATCTATCCAAGGACGGGGTGTGTGTTGTGTGGGGGTCGCATAGGAAGAGGAGGGAGAGAGGGAGGGAGGGAGGAGGGGTGGATTGGGATGTTGCTGTTGTGAAATCGGCTATTACTTTCAGATTGACCTAAATATCCCATCATCAGCGCCTAAATAGACACACGGCACCGTGACCGCTTTGTGCCGCGTTTCAGAGCCGGAAAAACAGACCCAAATAGTCCCATTGCCTTGCCTTGCCTCAGCCATCACATAACGAGGCATGTGCGGAGATGAAGAGCACCTTGCTGCTGCCTGGCTGCTTGCTCCCAAAAAATAACACCGTGGTGCGTTTGTAAGCGGCTCCGGGCTGTTTTTCGTCCCCTACCGTAGAGTAATTAATCTCATTCATCACGTTGCCAAGAAGATTGCTTGTGATGTAGCAAGAGCAGAGCTTCGTCACTATATTGAATGTGAGTGACCCAAGGCCATTGCATGATGCAGGATACATGGAAGAGGGTAGAAACTCATGTGTGATAGGCCATGGACTGACTTTCAACATGACCATGCATCTTATTATTTCATGAACAATATCTCCATGTTTATCACCTTTCATTCCCTCAACTACATTTAACAGAGACAGTGATTCTGCCTTGTCATAACAAATTTACCACTTCTTCAGTCTTCAGCTGGAAGCCTATAGTTGTTCGACAGGATGAAGTTGAATGCATTATTGTGGAAGAATATAGGCAAAGCCATCAGAAAAGTTACACAGTGCTTCTTTACACTATTTTCTCTAGAAACTGTTGGGAAATCAGAACTAACGTGGAGGAAATGTCCAAGCCAACAAATTACTGTGGTGCCATATGGACAGAATTGAGATTGAAAAGATAATAATGGTTATTATAGTTTGATTTCAGTTGAACATTGTAAAGGTTTTATATATGTGCAGTTTACAGACAAACTAAAGGTGCAGTTTAGAGACAGATGTGGTGGCTGGTCCATCTGCTTGCTTTTTTTCCCTAGGGTGTCATAGTCCTTGCTTACCTCCTGGTGTGCAGTGGTTTGCATCCTGATTCTGTACAGGTTGTATATACCAGATGCCCTCCCTTACACAGCCTTCAGGAAACTTGCTGATCATTTCAGATTGATGTGCCATTACAAATGCTCTTTGCTCCATGCCTTAAAGCTGTGATTGTATCTGGATACAACCTTATAGGGCAAACCCATTTTGTTTCAGCGTCGGTGTAAAAATAATTTGTCTTTGGCCACTAAAACGCCTGACAACATCAATTTGGGAGGTGCTTGTTGAAAGTTGAGAAATCAGGCTTTTTGGCTTCGGCTGCCTCCAGTACATCAAATTACCACTGAAGACTTTGACAGAAACCTGGTTTGTAATGTGTTATGCTATAGTTTTTATAGAATAGAAACAGTCTTAGAGAAATACTATTTTATACACTGACAGGTTATTATGATAAAGTGAAGATTAGTACATCTCTTCAGCATGGCATTTGTGTGAAAGATTGTGTTCATTGGATACTTTCTTTTTGTAAATATGAAAAAGAATTAAAAAGTTTCTATGCCCAAATATTCATAAATACATGCCATGTACCAAAAGTGTTTGTGAGAGCTAGAAAATAAAGGATTTTCTAGCTCTCACAAATATTTGAATATTTGAATAGGCCTACATGCCTTACACAGTTTGAAAATCGGGAACCTAGCTTTAAGGTAATAGGCAAAGAAGGATTTCAAAGTTATAATGCTATTTTTGCCTAAAGCTGGCTATTAGTTTGGATCTGTATCACACTTCATGACTACCCAAACACATCATTCTCACTGTTTGGGATTCTGCAGATTCTCACATGGTCACACATCTCACAGTCTTGTTTTCCAGTGTGCATTTGGCCTGCCACAGTGCACACAAACAGCTTGTATTTACTGGCAACTTTTGATTTTACAACATCTTAAAAGTGAACATCCAAGTTGAGGTTTCATAAGCAGGTAAAGCAGCCAGCCAGTGTCTCTGTTACACAACATTAGACAGATCAAAGAAGCACTGATGCTTCTGCTGTTTACTGTAAAATGCTATGGACATTACAGGAAGTCTGGGGTCCCTTAGCCCCCTCCTCTTTTTCTCTTCTCTGCATGTGTGGGTCTAATAGCTGGAGAATGGTGGAGGATGCTAATAGTGACCATAATATGATAAACTGAAAATGTGATTCAAAAGATAGTTGTAATGTTTAAATAATTATCTAAGATGAATTAATAGTTTCTTAATAGCTTCCTGTCAGATAAATGACTGCCCTATAGAAAGCAACAGGGGCCAAAAAGTTTCAACAATTATAAATGCTAGGGAACTACTGTTGAATATACATATATGATACACTTACAACATTAAAAAGTCAAAAGCAACAAACCCGTTGT